CTCAAAAATTTCAAGCTTGCAAAACCATACTAAGAAAATCTTTTTGGAATTTTTTTCTTTTTTTTTTTCAAAAATAAAGCAAGACAAAAAAAAAGGAACAAGCACACATTTTTTTTTTCATTAAAAATAACACACAAAAATCCAAAAGCTAAAACAAATAAACAAATTAATACAAGTCAAGTTTTCTCACCCAAACTGGTTTAGTACGAACAAAGTTGTGAGAATTGCAGTTCTTGGGTGGTGTCTTGACGTTGTGGTTCATGACGGATTGCCAAACTTTTTCATCAATAGATTTTAAAAAAGATCTCATCCGAGCTTTCCAAAAAGAATAATTGGATCCGTCAAGTAAGTAGGGGTGGTCGAACCATAGAATTTCCCTCACGTATTGAATCTATTATCACAAATCAAACAAGATCTCGTTTTAAAAGATTTTTTTAAAAAAAAAAATAGAACGACCTGCTCTGATACAAATTATTCATTGATTGAGGGGAAGCCTCTGCCTTTACTCACCAAATACCCCTTGATTCCTAGTGGTTTGACTTTCCTTAGTTGTGCTTAGATTCTCTTGTCAGAGATGTAACTTTCATATTACTACTAGGCTTGAATCTAGTGTTTGTTGAACTCCAAATTTCACACACACACTTTTCTCAGGGCATCTATGCTTTTCACATAATGCATCACTTTCTTTCATGAGGAATTTTCTACAGACTGTGCACATTGTGTTTACTAGTAATTGTGTTTCTTGGATAATCTTGTGTGTTCTAAGGTACAAATCTGAGATTTCTTACTTGCTCCACCATATTGTTTTTGTCGTTTTCATCTTGTTCACTGTTTTCAGTGTTTGTGGTTGCTTTTAGTGAGGGGGAGTTTGGTTCATCTAGATTTGGGTTAGTAAAGGAGTTTGTTTTTTCTTTGCAAGAGTTGTTTAGCATGAACACTTTGATATGTTTGGTAAGGGAGATTGGCTATATGTTTTGCATATTGCTATGCACTGTTTGCCCTTCTTGTATGTTCCTGGTATTTACATCGTCATATCATTGCATGTGTGGTTTATGATCTTGCTTTTGTTGTTTGAGAGTTGTTTTTCATGAGTCTTAGTTTTCATCTATTCATGTTTTCCATCTCATGCTTTAAATGCTTCAAGATAATCTAGCCATATGTTTATTGCTTTTTCATATACTCTTGTGAGACTAATAGTTGTTTTGGAGATTGTGGCACTAATAGCTGTTTTGCAGATCTTAATCTTAAGAAAGCAGTTTGTGTTTGTTGGTTGTAATGGGTTGGGTTGATTAGGATTTTATTTGTCAGGTGTGTTTTGTCACGGCATTGCCAAAGGGAGAGATTGTTAGGTTTTATTATTGGCAATCCCGTTTGACAAGGATTTCTTTAAGAAGTTGATTTTCTTCCAAAACTATGATTACTTTTGGATTGCTATAAGTAATTGGATTTCTTCCTTTGGATTTTCTATAAATAGTTGGTTTTCTCCCAAAACTATTTAATTCCTCCAGATCTTCTTTTTGGTTCTTAAGGTTTATATCTGGGGATATTTTGTTAGTTTTCTTTGATGTTTTATTGAGTATTCAACTCATGGTTTAAAGAGAGTACATCAAAGGTTTTGTTTGCTATACACAAGAGAGAGAGAGTTGTTCTTCGGTGGATTCTGGAGAATTCGAGCCTGAAGCTTCGGTGGATTTTGGAGTGGCTCATCGTAAAGACAATTCCGAGGTGAAGACGGGGTTGGAAGAGGCACATAGAGGTTGGTTCAATTAGGCGTGGATTCGCTAGGTAATTGAGAGTATACCTGTGTAATTCCTTTAAATCTTCTTAGTGGATTGTTTTGTGGCTGTTGCCCGTGGTTTTTTAATCATAGTTGGAGGTGTCCAATTGTGATTTTTCCACGTTAAAATCGTTGTGTTGATTTGTCTTGAATGTTTGATTGGGATTGTTATATACTGCTTAAAATTGTTACATAATCACAAATCAAGATCTAGGAGATTTCTAGATTTTTCAATAGTGATTCGGCACACCGGGCTTACGTCCACTCCCTTAGTATCTTCCTTAGGAATTTCTCCACTATTTTTCAAATAGTAATTACATCACTAGCTTCACGAGTGCTAGTAAACCTTTACAACAAGTGACCAATCTCAATCACTCCGACTAGTTTAGAATCTGGTGCCTAGTCACACCTAACCAAATAATTTTATTTCAAAAATCACTCACAAAAATATCCCAACTAGTATTGAATCCGGTGCCCAATCACACCTAACCCAAGCGATTTTATCTCAAAAAAATCACTCACAAAAACTTTATCTTTTTACAAGAATAATATGAATAAGGGATAGAAATTTTTTTTTCAATTTTGCTCAAACTCTCAACAAATTTTATCACAGAAAATATGTAACTTAATGAAGCATAATACAATATTTGAAAATATTTCAATATAACAAATTTTTCTCTTCTTGACATCTTAATTTTTCTTCACACAAAATACTTCTATATATATCCAAAATTATATCCGTTGGCGGAGAGACACTCCTCATGCTGAGTTCGGCCCCTCTGACACGCGAAGCAACAGGCCAATTTCTCATTTCAAAATTTGTAGGCTGAGGATTTGAATTAAGTGTCAAACGTCGCTTTCAGTGAATAGTAATTTTAATATTTTCAAAATATCTGCCGTAAAATCAAATGGTATACGGTGACATTTTTAATAAAATATTTGAATGCATAGTGAATTTTTTATTAAAATATTTGAATAAATTATAAAAAAAAATTTAAATAATATTTATATTAGATATAAAAATATATACTCTATCTAAAATCTTTGTAGCTATTGTAGAGATTTTAGATACATAAAAATAACCCACCACCCCATGTGCGTATATCAAATTTGTCAAAAGAAGTAAATAGTGTTAAATGAATTTTATGCATAGTAATTTTCACGAATTCCAAACATCCACAGTAAATATTTTGTATCAAATAATGTAAAATATGTGTATTGAAAAATCACAATTTATCTCTAAATATTTCAGATATCATCAAAATTAAACCACATGATTAACAGGATTGATAGACGAGCTGAGAATGAGGATGACAATGGTGACGGGAAAAGTGGGAAGTGGAAGGGCGTTAAATATAGTAAATATATATTATGTCTGTGATTTGTATAGTGTATAACCATACTTACCATAATATAAGTATAATAAAAGGAAAGGCGGTGAGGCGACTAGGACAAGGGTGGCGGCCAGTAGTAGATAAGATATGGGAGTGTTGGAGAAGATGAACACGATATGTTAGGGTTTTTTAAAAATTGATGGTGTGAAATAAGAAAAAAAATTAAATAATTAAAATAATATGTGGTGTAAAGGTCTTATTTGGAAACAAGTTATTTTAATAATTTTTAACTTTTTACAAAAATATAAAAAATATAAAAAAAATACAAAAAATAATATAATAATTTATAATAATATTTTAACTTTTTAACTAAAAATAAAAATGATCAAACAAGACTAACAATTTTAGCCATCCTGTTGTCGATGCTCTAACTTTCAAAAGTGGATTAGACCTCCCCTGTTCTGTGGGCCCTTTATTACCTATTTTAATGATTTATTAGATTTATGCATGAATTATTTATTTAATAAAAGTTAAATTAAATTAATAATCATAATTATATATTTTTTTTTCATTTTTAACTTAAAAAATGCACATTATTATTACAATTGAACCAATCTATTTTTATGAATATGAAAACAATAAAATTATATTATTATAAATTATTAGATCAATGTGATTTAAAAAAAAAAATTACAATCTAGTGTAAGTTTTTAAAAATAATTTTAAATTAATTATAAACTCTATTAATATTAATAATTAAAATTTTAAATGTTTTAATAATTTTATAAAAATACTACTAAATTATTTTTATTTTTATTTTTATAAATAATCTACTCAACAAAATTAAAAATAAACCAAATGGCTCATCTAAGTGGAACTAGTGATGGCCAAGCATAAATTACAGGCCTAGTTTGCTTCTTTTATTTTTATTTTTATTTTTTCAATAGATATAAGAATAATTACATTTTAAGAAATAGTTACATCATTAAACAAATTACTAATTCACAATAGTTAAAAAAATCAACAAATTTATCAAATCAAGCCCAACAACCACTACTAATCCTATACAAGTTTCATAATGAGAGAGAAATAAACCAATCCCCATATATATATATATATATTACAAGACTGGATATGATTAGATTATTGATAGGATTGTGAAAAATAAATTATATTATAAAATTAGATAGGAAGAATATCATGGGATAATAGATGGAGAAATAATTAAATATAATTATTTTTGACAATTGAATATATATATTTTTTCTGAAATCAAATCATCTTATTTTTGTAATCTTTTTATATTATTATTAAAATTATTTAAAAATTAGTACCATATAGAGCAAGCAATGGATTAATAATTTCCCATTATCCCCTTATCCCGCAATAAGAAAAATATTTGCGAAATGTATTTACAATTCTATCCATAATAATATATATATATATATTTTTTATCAGAAAGAAAAAGGGCTCTGGGGTGTCATCATGCCCTGTGGGCCCTAACCTTGGGGTAACCGGTTGCCAGTCAGGAATTAACCCCCACCATGTGAGGGACCCACCACCGAGGCACCAAAGAAGCTCAACTATACCCCACAGGCCGCCGAGGGTTCGAATCGGAATACAGGAGGTCTCAAAGAGAACACTTCCACACTCCCCCAGGATTCGACCCTGAATCATGCCTGTGGAGACGAGTTGCTTTCTCCACTGAGCCACCACCCCAGTGGTCATAATAATATGATAAAATATGTGTTAGTTTTAATTTATTATTCACTTAATGATAATAGACGCCAATTTCTATAACACATTATTGTGTGAATGAATTTATAAATATAAATGCGTGCGTCACTATGTTGCACTGCTCCTTGCCTATATATAGAGAGGATAGGGAGCATCCATCCACATCGGAGGCCCACCATCACCAACAAACAAAAAGATGGAAGCAGCCAAACAACAAACACACACCCATTTCATCCTGGTACACGGTCTTTGCCATGGAGCTTGGTGTTGGTACAAGCTCAAACCACTGTTGGAGTCTCATGGCCACAAGGTCACTGCCCTCGACCTCTCAGCATCCGGTATCAACATGAAGAAGATAGAAGAGATTCGCACTTTTTATGACTATACGGTGCCGTTGATGGAGGTCATGGAATCGCTTCCTCCGGGCGAAAAGGTGGTTCTCGTTGGGCACAGTCTTGGTGGCTTGAACTTGGCTCTTGCCATGGACAAGTTCCCCCAGAAAATCTCCACTGCTGTCTTCGTCACTGCTTTCATGCCCGATACGGTGCACAAACCCTCGTTTGTTATCGAACAGGTATAGATTATATAGAAATTGATTGCAGAATCAGATATAAAAATAGTCATACAATTAAAAGGCCCAGCCACTAATGCTAGAAACGTCTAAATCACTCATACACCATACGCGTATTTGTGGTCTTTTGTTTTCTACTTCGCACTTCATTTATTGGGTTGTTTATTTGGTACAGTTTTTTCTAAGTTAACAATAATTGATAATCAAAATGTAAAAATTAAAATTTCTCATTCTCATGTTTTCTAATACAGCCGTGCCTTATACACCCAGTGGGGGTCGCAACCCCAGTGAGGTGCCACTGGCTGCCAACCGAAAAAAAAAAAAAAAAAAATTAAAAACTGTTTTTTTTCGCCTAATCATGGGCCTCCACCTCACTGGAGGTCGACCCCCAGTGGGGGTATAAATCATTTTTCTTTCTAATAATAAGTTGTTTTTAAATTGAGAAAAATTCACATTAGTGAGTAATGATTTTTTTTTAAAAAAAAATTGAAATAATGATAAGTTCATATTATTAACAACACTACTACAGGGCCCGAAATTTTCAAGCTTGAATTTGCCCCGAATCCAAAACGACGTCATTTTGGATTATCTTACCGGTAAGAGAATTGTAATATATCTTACCGGTAAGAGGATTTTATTACATGTAACCGATAAGAAAACCCAAAACGATGTCGTTTTGAATTTCGAGCCAATTTCGAGCCAAACGATTTTGGGCCCTCAAACATTTTTCTATTACTAATTGATCATAGTATTGTTAATGCTAGAATAATATTTTATATTAATGAAGCGACTAAGATTCGATAACGCTGTGTTTGGTGGAAAGATTTGGAAATGAATTTGGAAAAGGAATGGAAAAAGGTGTGTGAACTAGATAAAATGTAAGTATATTTTATTCATATTTTACCTACCTTTTCATTTTTCCTTTCTAAATCTCACAAGCAAACACAGTGTAAAGATAATTTTTTTCCCCCCTCTTATTCTAGCTTTTTATGTTTCAAGTATTTTTTTAATTTATTTCAAAAGGTAAGTTATCTTCAAAATTAAATAGAAAATGACATATTGATAGTCACTTAATATACAAATATTTTATTATATATAATTTACATTATGACCAAACTCAAACTCTAATACAAGAGTAATTTTAGACAATATGAAAGAAATATCATCTTAATGTGTGGTATTTTATTGTGTGTAATTCAAAGATAGATAATTTTCATAAAACTTTTTATGATGTGCCTAGCATTATTCTTAATATAATAATATTTTTTTATAATATAATATTTTCTGTCTAATTTAAAATAAAATTTAACTTATGAGTAAATTTAAAAAAATAAAAAAATAAAAAAATATAAAAGTCCAAAACAGGAAAAAAGAAATTAAAGACAAAGTGAAAAAATAGTCAAATTTATCCATAATGGTTTACACAATAGATAAGGAAGCAGAGATAATGGTTGGTTTGTTAGGACTAACAAATCTATGGCTTAACCCAAGACTTCTAGCGCACTTGGTAAGTATTTGGGGGTAAGATCTCAGGTCTTTAAGTTTGAAATTTTTTGGATTAACCTTTTGAGTGCAGAGCGCAGTTGATTAGGAGGTTAGTCTCAAGTTGTTGTTACCGTAGTACTTGATATAGGTTCAATATTTTCCATTGCATGAGTCTTGACTTAAGCCGAACTTATCTTGAGAGGTCGAGACAAATTTTTAAATTATAATCTCTGACTTAGAACGAACAATAAAATACATTGATGATCTCTGTAAGAGACATTGCTTTAGACCTGCGGAAGAGAAGAGGGATTTTCCTGTAACTCAAAAAAAAATATCAATGGCCCACTTGCAAATTCAAGCTGCAATACAAACCATTAGAAACGAGGCAATCGTTAGTTGAGTAAATAGCCAATCAGTGGGATGTAAAAAAAAATAAGGGAAAGACATATTTAAAATATGAATTATTTTTTGTAATTTGAAAAATTATAAATATATCATTATAAAAAAAAATTAATTAAAAAATAAAATTCGTATTTCTATATAATAATAAAATTATTTGAATTATTAATTGAAATATATTTCTGATATTATTAAAAATTATTAATTAACTTGATAATTTATTAATAAAAATGATCATTTTGTTAGGAAATTAGAAATTTCAGGAGGCGAGATATAATTTCTAGAACTATAGAGGGTAATTCATATTTTAAACAAATTTCAATTGGTGTATTTGTAATTTACCCAAAAAATAAATATCAAATCTATTGAAACTTTTATAAATTTGACTTTTAATGTAATAAAATTTATCATTATTACATAAATATTTTCTCTCACTTACATTGAAATAATATTTTCTCTGTATTGTTGTTGGAAGAAATATATCTAGTGTTTTAATTTGATTGTTATTAATTTAAATAGTAAGATTAATGCGGATCTATCCTGTTGTAGGTCTCTTTGCATTTTATGTGCAAAGCTTGCAGGCTTTTCTCCCAATTCGCGCGCTTTAAGAGGTCGTAGCCCAAAGTAGTGTAGTATTATCCAATAATTTTAAATAATTAAAGACATTAAAATAATGTTTGCCTTCAGTCTTTAATTATTATTATTATTATTTTGGCACGTCTTACTAATTTGTTAATTATTGGTTGGGGGAGGAAAGCAATGTAAGAAAAATTAAGGTTATGAAAGAAATATTACGAAAAAATTTAAAAAAATTTAAAAAATAATCTATTTTCATGAAATTTTAAGAAATAATCTAGTGTGATATGTAACAAAACAAAAAAAGTGGTTTACCTTAATGTAAACTAGCATATCACCCGTACTATGTACGGAATAAAATAATATATTATTTAATAAAAATATGATAATTATATTTTATTTTTTTATATTATGTAAAATAAAAGTTAAACGGAATCAAGATTTTCTTAATTGTTTAAAATTAAGAAAATCAAAAAATTAGTATGAGATATTGATCATAAGGATTCTCACTAAAAATCTAATTTCGCTTATATAAATGGGAGTATAAGATTCACTTTCTGTAAGTAAAACAATTCACTTTTTTCTTTTTTTTCTCAATGTGGGATTATAAAATAAAAATTAAATGAAAGCTAATCAATTGGAATTTTTTTAATTGTTTAAAAGTTAACAATTGTTTGGGCAGAAAATTTATTTCGAATCAAGCAATCTTAGCAGTTTAAATTAGGTTGATCTTTAATTTATTTCGAATCAAACAAATTTAACCAATATATTTTGATAAAATCGTTAAAATCGCAGTTAAACCAGCGAATCAATCAAACTGAAAACGATTCACCCTATTGGCTAGGTCAAAGGACGAGCCAACTTATATAAAAATTAATTAATTAAAAGTTTTAAATTGAAACATACATAACACTACAATATTAAATGGAAGCATAAGGTTTATATAGTGAAACAACTCATTTTTTCCTCCTCTTCTTGATGTGGGATTGTAAAATAAAAGTTAACAGTTGTTTGGACAGGAAATTCATTTCTAATCAAACAATCTCAATCGTTCAATTTTTAATAAGGTCAACCTTAGTTTATTTCAAATCAAACAAATCTAAGTAATATATTTTGATAAAACAACTAAAACCGTGGTTAAACCAGTGAATCATTCAAACAAAAAACGATTCAGCCTAATCGGCTAAGTTAAAAGACCAACTAATTTACAACAAAATTAATTAATTAAAACCTTTAAATTTTATTTTAAAATTTAAACCATCTTGAACTGAAATATGCACAATACTATAATATTAAATGAGAGTATAAGAGTCAATTTATATAAGTGAAACAACTAACTTTTTATTTCTTTTCTCGATGTGGGATTGCAATTATTTTAAAATTAAATATTATAAGAATTTCAAAATCTCATACAATATTATTTTTAAAATCAAAACGTCTATGTAGGATTGTACAATAAAAGTTAAATGGAAGCTAACCAATGGAGATTTTCTGAATTGTTTAAAATTAAGAAAATAAAAAAAAATGGTATTAATTATAAGGCTTTTTACTAAAATTTTTTTTTTGCTTATATAAATAAGAGTATAAGATTCACTTTATATAAGTAAAACAATTCACTTTTTCCTTCTTTTCCCGATGCGGGGTTGTAAAATAAAAGTTAAATGGATATGCACATTGGATTGCAGATTGAAACTGTATTTACAAAAGCACCTTCACATAGCAAGGGTGATAGGAGTATTCTACATGTGTTCTTAAACACACACACACACACACACAAAAAGAAAAATTGGTATTGATTATAGAGTTTCTCACTAAAAATCTTCTTTTGCTTATATAAATGTGAGCATAAAATTAATTTTATATACGTAAAACAATTCATTTTTTCCTACTTTTTCCTGATGCAGGACTGTAAAATAAAAATTAAATGAAAGCTAACCAATGGAGATTTTATTAATTGCTTAAAATTAAGAAATTTCAATAATTTATATAAATTGGAGTATAAAATTCATTTTATATAAATGAAACAATTTACTTTTTCTTTTCTTTTTTTTTTCTCCCGATTTGGGATTGTAAAATAAAAGATAAATGGAAGTTAGCCAATAGGAATTTTCTTAATTGTTTAAAATTAAGAAAATTCAAGAATTTTAGCATGAGTGTTTGGATTTTCTAAAAAGTTTCTTCCTTAAAACTCCCTTTATAAGATTCATTTTATATAAGTAAAAAAATTCACTTTTTCATTCTTTTCCCGATGTGGGATTGTAACACTTTATATAAGTGAAACGACTCACTTTTTCTTTCTTTTCTCGATGTGAGATTGTAATTATTTTAAAATTAAATATTATAAGAGTTTCAAAATCCCATATAAAATTATTTTTAAAATCAAAATTATGTGAGATTGTAAAATAAAAGTTAAATGGAAGTTAGCCAATGGGGATTTTATTTATTGTTTAAAATTAAGAAAATTAAAAAAATGAGTATGAGACATTGATTATAGAGCTTCTCACTAAAAATCTATTTTTGCTTATATAAATGAGAGTATAAAATTCACTTTATGTAAGTGAGACAATTCACTTTTTCTTTCTTTTTTCAATGTGGAATTGTAAAATAAAAAGTAAAAGAAAACTAATCAACGGAAATTAGAGAGACATAGTTTAGGTTGATGAATTTAGCATACTCGATCATTTTGTAAACTCATATGTATATTAAAAAAAATAAAAAATCAAATTCATTCTAAAGTCATGTTCCTGTGATTTCAATGTAATAAAAATATATGATCTATTTATAAAATTATATATATTATTTATTTTTAAAAATTAAATATAATAAAATTACGTGATTATAAATGATAGTCTCGCTCAAAGTAAATCAAAGTTTCATTTGTTCAGAATGTTGTTAATAAAAACTGAAAATAAATCAAAGTCAATCAACTGACATCTTCTCCTCTCTAACATGTGCCTTGTTACATTGTCATCTATGTGGTCATAATTGTGGAATTAACTTGCATCATTTCATTTTGAGTAAAATATTGTTTTAAAAATATAATTAATTGGACCTAATTGGGGGAGATGGGTGACGGCCTTCAAATTTTGAAACCCTTTTATAATAATAATAATATTAATTATTAAAAAAAACCTTTAAATTATATAAGTTGGCTTCCTATTAGAGAGACATATTTTCAACATACAGTTTGGTAAACCATCAACCTAAACTATGATAAAAGCTTCCAACCTAAACTATCACAACCTGTCACTATATTCCAACCTAAACAATTCATTTTTTCTTTCTTTTTTCGATGTGGGATTTTCAAATAAAAGTTAGTCAATGGAGATCTTCTTAATTGTTTAAAATTAAGAAAATTAGTATAAGATATTGAAATTCTCACAAGGCTCCTCACTAAATGGGATGAGAGTATAAGATTCTCTTTATATGAGTAAAACAACTCATTTTTTTTCTTTTTTCTTTTTTCCGATGTAGGATTATCAAATAAAAGTAATTATTTAAAATTAAGAAAATCAAGAAAATTAGAATGAGGGTTTGGAGCTCCTAAAAGGCTTCTCACTAAACAGTCCATTTTCCTTATATATATAGATGCATTTAATTTTGAAGTTTTAGTTTGTAAATAGTATAGACTTATTAGTTTTGTCTTATAGTATGATTGATAGATTGTAATTTAGTGTATGTGATTGCATAACATAACACCACAAACTAATTTAAGGATAAAGAATCTTTATGAAATTTTTAATGATAAACATAATATTACTCAAAATTAAGATATAGTTCATGTTAAAAAATACTTTGTCCCAAAACAATCGCAGTAATTTGAAAATTTTATGATACAAAATCTTGAAATATAATCTAATAATTGTAAATACTTTAAAAAAAGAATAATGCTATACTTAAAATATTTCTATCCAATATTTAATATATCCTGTTTTGTATCAGCACATTATTTATTAATATAAGAATAATGCTATATGTATTAATTATTGTATATATTAGTATGCTAACAGATGATGTGGCATAATTTTAGAAATTTTTGATATTTATAATTTGTATAATAAATAAGATCATTAATAATATTATAACATTAATTAATACATTAATATATACACTAATTAATACATATAACATTATCGTGAATATAATAAGTCCTATCCTTTATGTATATCCGTAATGTCAGTGGTTACTTATTTGTATCCAATTATTTTTTTCCTACTAAAAAAAGGGAGAAATTACACTGACATGTGTCAGTGAAAAATTATTTACAAATAAATAAAAGATATTATAAATATTATAATTTTTTTATTAATTTATAAAAAAAATTCATCTGACACTCTGTCAGGTAGTTTCCCAAAAAACTGCCCCTCTCAAACGAAAACTTATTGAGTTGTTGTTGGTCGTTGTTTTTATTTTATTTTATTTTATTTGAATAAGAAACTTTTAGATTGAAGTTCACAAACTTTTTGAGTTGTCTGTTTCTTGGTTAATTTTCTTCTTGCTACAGAGCCTTAAGGGGACAACCCCAGAATCATGGTTGGACACAAAGTTTGAATCTTATGGTACTCCTGAAATGCCCCTAACATCAATGCTCCTTGGCCCCAAATTTCTGGCATCCAAACTCTACCAACTATGCCCCATCCAAGTAAGCCATCCTCCTCTCTCTCTCTCTCTCTGTGAAAATTAAACATAGGAAAAAAAATATTACCATATGATTTCAATGTTCGAATCCATATTTATTTTTTGTGTTTCTAAACATACAAGAAGTTAATATGCTATTTTTATAGGATTTCACACTAGCAACAACATTAGTGAGGCCAGGGTCATTATTTTTAGAAGATTTGGCACATGCAAATAACTTCTCAAATGAAGGTTATGGATCGGTGACACGAGTTTTTGTTGTGTGCACCGAAGATTACACAATACCAGAGGAATACCAACGATGGATGATCGAAAACAGCGGAGGAGTGAAAGAGGTGAAGGAGATCAAAGGTGCAGATCATATGGCAATGTTTTCAAAGCCTCGAGAACTCTGTTGCTATCTCTTAGAGATTGCTAATAAGCACACTTAAAAATATGATATGGCAAATAAAGCAACCTTAAAAAGACTTTTATGTGCTATGTTTTGCTTGTAGCATGATATTTTTCCCCTTTTAATTTGTGATAATAAAATTGTTGTTGTTGCATTGGTTGTGATTGTTTTCAAACTTTCTACATAAATGTATCTTTTTTTCCTGTTTGTTTCTTCTTTTTTTTTTTTAATTTGACATGTAAGTCGTGTTTAAATCATGCATTTGAGTAAAAATTTAAAAAGACAAAGATAAAAATAATTACAAGGGCAAAATTTATTTTACCCCCTTATGATTTTGCTTCGAAATATTTTATCCTTTTATAGTTCAAATACAAGAAAAGAACCCTTATGATTTTCAAAGCCTCAGAGGAGTGAAAGACGTGAAGGAGATCAAAGGTGCAGATCATATGGCAATGTTTTCAAAGCCTCGAGAACTCTGTTGCTATCTCTTAGAGATTGCTAATAAGCACACTTAAAAATATGATATGGCAAATAAAGCAACCTTAAAAAGACTTTTATGTGCTATGTTTTGCTTGTAGCATGATATTTTTCCCCTTTTAATTTGTGATAATAAAATTGTTGTTGTTGCATTGGTTGTGATTGTTTTCAAACTTTCTACATAAATGTATCTTTTTTTCCTGTTTGTTTGTTTCTTTTTTTTTTTTTTAATTTGACATGTAAGTCGTGTTTAAATCATGCATTTGAGTAAAAATTTAAAAAGATAAAGATAAAAATAATTACAAGGGCAAAATTTATTTTACCCCCTTATGATTTTGCTTTGAAATATTTTATCCTTTTATAGTTCAAATACAAGAAAAGAACCCTTATGATTTTCAAAGCCTCGGAGGAGTGAAAGAGGTGAAAGAGATCAAAGGTGCAGATCATATGGCAATGTTTTCAAAGCCTCGAGAACCCTGTTGTTGTCTCCTAGAGATTGCTAATAAGCACACTTAAAAATATGATATGGCAAATAAAGCAACCTTAAAAAGACTTTTATGAGCTATGTTTTGCTTGTAGCATGATATTTTTCCCCCTTTAATTTGTGACAATAAAATTGTTGTTGTTGCGTTGGTTGTGATTGTTTTCAAACTTTCTACATAAATGTATCTTTTTTTCCTTTTTGTTTCTCTCTTTTTTTTTTTTTTTAATTTGACATGTAAGTCATGTTTAAATCATGCATTTGAGTAAAAATTTAAAAAGACAAAGATAAAAATAATTAAAAGGGCAAAATTTATTTTACCCCCTTATGATTTTGCTTTGAAATATTTTATCCTTTTATAGTTCAAATACAAGAAAAGAACCCTTATGATTTTCAAAGCCTCGGAGGAGTGAAAGAGGTGAAGGAGATCAAAGGTGCAGATCATATGGCAATGTTTTCAAAGCCTCGAGAACCCTGTTTGTAACGCCCCAACTTCCAGGCCGTTAATTAAGTACAATATTACCACACAAATAGGTTAGATAACCAAAACATCTTAAGATACATATATAACCAGAGTTAGTATCACGGATCATTCGTTTATTTTCCATTGCAGGATTACGAAACATTGAAAACAAAAACAACTAGTCTAAGTCTTCAAATGAACCACCGCTCCAACACTTCATCGTATTTGCCTTTGCAATAACTTTCATCATTATAACTGCTTCACCACCTGGCATGACACGCCATGAGCTTGGAATACCCAGTAAAAACACACACATCCCCATATCTTCTATCAACCAATCAACCATACATAGGGCAAATTGGGTAACATAACATGCAAAATTACAACAAGGTTCTATGAATTAGGAGTTTGCCTAGACATCTAGGATCCCCCAAAGAGATCCTTCTACCCAACCACAAGGCAGAACACCGGATTACTCAAACTCCTCCTTTTGCTGCTTTGCAGACCTTACCACCTATGCCCACCTCCTGGTTATTTAACGGTTAGTGACATTGATGGACCTCAAAAGGGACGGCCAAACAAGTGGGCTCGCTTACACCCAAATCATGCCTAGGGCTCGCTTACACCCTGCACATACCATACCAAATCGTGCCTAGGGCTCGCTTACACCCTGCACATATCATACCAAAGGGCTCGCTTACACCCTGAAACCACCGCATAGAGTCTGAATACATCCGTGTCAACCTAGGGGCTCGTTTAGACCGCTTGCGCAAGACTTAACTCATTTGATTTTAATTCCATTCACATGTTCAATACATAAATCATTCTGAAGCACAAGGGTGAATGTCACCCACTACCAACCCCTTTCCATTTTCCATTTATTAGATCTTTTGCCAAGCAAGCTAGTCACATTCGGTAATTCGGTAATATAAAAGAGCATGAGACAAACACAAGAAATGAAATGTAGCCCATGATAATCATACATAGGTATGGTAAGGCAAGAAAATAACATTAGGCATGCTTTAAAATACTTAGAGACAAACAACACAACAAAACACCATTTCCAGCACTGTTCGGTTCTGCAGGGCTAACAAGAACGCTTTGGTAAAAATATTTCTAGGTCAAATTAGGGGCTGAAATTGCACAAAAAAAATATTCAATCTGTCTAGTTTCAGTTCCAATTTTCAGAAGTTGCACAGCCCCTCCACAAATTCATCTACAAACTATATTCGAAAACCTGTCCAGATTTGTCACCCTTTGGGGAAACTAACTTTTCTCTCAATCTACCCGATGGTTTTCACTCAAATAAAATCTGTTGGAAAGAGGACTCAGAGTTATAAATTTTGATAGAAGAACCAACATGAGGTGATTTTTCTAGAATTTTATAAAATTTCTAAAAGGGGACTGTTTTTCAGAGATTCAGGACCAGATTTTTCAACAATTTATCCAAGCCCTAAAAACAAACAATTTGGAGCTAATAAAATTTTCACAAACTCTAAACATACCAAATATCCTACCATAAATTCAGATTTGAGAATTAAATAGATTTGATATTTATTTTAAATTAGGGAAGTTGCAGCAGTGCCTAATTTCACAAATTTGCAAGACAATGGCAATTGATCATACCCACACTTCATCATACACAAAAAACTTTATTTACCATTAATTTGCAACACAAGAGGCATATTAGACAATAGAAGGAGATGGTGAAAGAATTGGAGAAGACAAAGGAGGGGTATGTTCTTACCTTTTTTAGAGTCACCCTTATTATTATTTTTTTCTTCTTCTTCTTCTTCTCTACTTCCTTTGATCACACTTTCACCCTCTCACCCTCTCCCTAGGCTGTTGAAAATGTGTGGTGAAAATTGAGACAAAGTTCTCAATTTATAAGCCATGAAATAGGGCTAGCTTAATGACTAAGAAAAAGCATAAAAATCTAGATATTTTTCCATTGCTCAAATAAGTATTAAAATAAATAATAAAACTATTTATTTAAAGATATGTGTAGATATTTATTTAAAGATATTTATTTAAAGATATTTATTTAAAGATATTTATTTAAAGATATTTATTTAAAGATATTTATTTAAAGATATTTATTTAAAGATATTTATTTAAAGATATTTATTTAAAGATATTTATTTAAAGATATTTATTTAAAGATATTTATTTAAAGATATTTATTTAAAGATATTTATTTGCTCAATTAAATAATAAAGGTTCAAAGAAAATAATAAAAATTCAAAGAACTAATAAATATTCAATTAGGCTAAAAATAAATTTGATGAATTAATTTAGAAACTAGGAGGTACATAAATAAAAGCCAAGTGTTAGGGTATTTCCAAATATAAAAACGACATTCTATGATTTAATTATAATACAAAATAAAATACAGAAAAATAATTCTTTCTTGGACCATTTTGTAAAATTTTATAAAATTTGGGATTAAAATGTAATTGACCTAAGGCTTAGGGTATCAAGTGTAATTACCAAAAATTAGGGTCTTCACACTGTTGCTGTCTCTTAGAGATTGCTAATAAGCACACTTAAAAATATGATATGGCAAATAAAGCAACCTCAAAAAGACTTTTATGTGCTATGTTTTGCTTGTAGCATGATATTTTTCCCCCTTTAATTTGTGATAATAAAATTGTTGTTGTTGCGTTGGTTGTGATTGTTTTCAAACTTTCAACATAAATGTATCTTTTTTTCCTTTTTGTTTCCCTTTTCTTTTCTTTTTTTTAAATTTGACATGTAAGTCATGTTTAAATCATGCATTTGAGTAAAAATTTAAAAAGACAAAGATAAAAATAATTAAAAGGGAAAATTTTATTTTACCCCCTTATGATTTTGCTTTGAAATATTTTATCCTTTTATAGTTCAAATACAAGAAAATAACCCTTATGATTTTGAACTAAAGTGCAAATCTAACTCAGGGCAAAATTAGTTAAATACACCTATAATATATTCTTTCTCTTCTCTAATATATATAATTTCCTATCTTAATCATATATTTAACAAATAAAATCATAGTAAACTTGTGATAACCCAACCCATATTATGCTTAATTATGCATGTGATTATGCGTTTGACATGAATTTGCAAGTTTAAGTATGTGAACTATGTGATTTTGGAATTATATCTGTCGAATGTAGGAATATCTGTTGTAATTACAACTTTGAACTGAAATTGAAAGCCTTAAAGGCGCCAGAAACTAAAACCGACTTCATATCTGTATTTAGCATGATTTTTAGAGCCTACGGTGAAATTTTGTAAAATTACGATTCGTAATGTTTAATTAGCCTAATTTATAGGTATCTCTAACTTTTTGAGTTCTTCATTGTTAAGAGACTTGCTAAAGAATGACTTAGAGAGAGAGAGAGAGGAAGAGGAGAAGTTAGGATTTTGGAAGAAATTCAATGGGCAAACCCTAGATTTGAACTAAGGTATGGTAATCTACTTGGAATCTTTGTATATATCTCATCTTGTACTTGAAATCAATAGGAAATTGGGAATTTTGAGCTAGTGTGTTGAATTGTGTAATGGCTTGAAATAAAATCAAGAAATCCCTTCAACCTTGTGTGATTTGAGCTCAATCGTGTGAATAATTCACGAAATAAACTCTAGATGGTTCATACAACCAAGGTTTGTTGAAAGATTGTCTGTGTATATATATATTTTGAACTTGATCATGAGGTTTTGTATATGTATAGAAAAAGATGAGACGTTGATTTTTACATTGAAGCAAGATTGATGTGTTTGAATTAAAATTATACTTGAATCATGTTAGTA